TGATTCCTGCCTCCGGTGCATAGGATACACGTTCACGAGCTTCTTCGATGTTAACATCACTGAATAAACCTAATGAACTTTCTCCAAAATCATCGCCCTGAAAATGCTTATCTATACAGCATGCTTAAGATCTCAAAAAATAATACAAGTGAAAAAATTCTGATAGAAACCAAGAAGCAAATTTGAAATAACACAAATGTATCATCATTAAAAGTACCCCAAATTCCGCTCCGAAAGGCATATCTGTCGTTTCTGGGATAATATCTTCTTTCAGAGTAATATCATCAATTCGACTTTGGTTGATATGAATTTGTGCATGCATGTCCAGTTCATTGAAATCCGGTAATGCAGCATCAAAATCATGAAATACCTGAAATTTCGACAGTACCATGAATAAAGAGATGTCAATTCTCAGTAACTCAAAGCAAAACAGTAATAAAAAGAAATCAGGATCAAAAGAAAAATAAGTTAAGCAAAATTCACCTCTGGAAGATTTATGGCAGCACTTGCAGCTTGTTGTCCATCTTCGTCTAGTTCTACTTGACCAGGGCGAAATGCCATTTTAATTTTGAGGAACGCTTCATTACAATCAGCCAAAAGATATTTTGCTTTACGCGAATATATTCGTACAATACCCAATAACAAATGCCCTGTGGTACGCAGAGCCATTTTAACCTGAAAAAAAAGGAAAAAGAAAATCAAAAAAAAAAATTTAAAGCAGAAATTCACTACTGCACAGTCCTCTTAGATTGTAGCCTTGACTCTCATCTAGAGTTAACGGCTTGTCCATTCCAACAAGATATGACATACATAATTGAAATTTCGTTAATATGATTGCAATTATTCCACTTGATAAATTAAATATAAATTGTTCATTGTCGTTGATTCGACCAAAGACTTACCTTAGGTTTCAATATTTCATTAACAGCGTCCTGTACATTTGTTTCATAAATTTGCGCTTTTGATAATTTTTTTTCCCAATGTGCAGCGAGCCAAATTTTAGCTAATGGACCTTTTTTCGATAAAACGAACTGGGCATAGAACATCCTTCAAAAAAGAGTTGAAAATGACATTAAATCAATTAAAATTTGAACACAAATTACAAAATTGAATAAAATTTATCCCGCTACAAGAGTCACGTCCCCTGTCGAAGTATTTACATGCATATTCAACTTCCTGTTGTTATGGTGCTAACTCACAAAAATGGTTTTAAAAGTAATGGTATAAAAATATGAAATGTATCCGTCAACAATCAAAAGAACAAAAAAAAATTAAAAGGAAAAAAATCAAAAGAACCCATCATTTTTTTTTTTTTTAAAACCCATCCCATAAGATGCGTAAGTCAAAAGTAACATTATCTTAGAGAAATTTCAGCAGTGATATCAAAATCGGCCATATGAAACTGATAAATTGTTAAAAAAAAAGAATTCTCTAAAATTAAGGAAATAATAGTTTAGATTTAAGAATAAGTATAAAAAGAGCAAAACGACTAGAAAAATGTACAATAACTACATTTGAATTAGACTTAATATCTCTTATTGTCTACTACGTAGTATGGATTTTACCAAGTCCATGGAACGCATCGTGACCTTTGACCTCATCCATCTACTAACGCAGAAAAACCACATCACACTGAAAACCCGCGCACATTCCCTACTGCGTCTGGGAAATGCGGTATGCGGTCCACCGTTATATTTAGTCAACAGCGTAATTTTCGTTGCTGTTGATGTATCTCATTCACATCTCACCGTACTTATGGTATTGTAATCGTACTGGATCTGTACTGTGTTCAAGCTCGACAAACAGGATTGATTACTCGTTGATTACATTAATTACTTAATTGTTCCGTAGACGGTATTCGGATTGGATAACAAAGTAACAAAAAGGTGACAAAAAGTTCATTTTGTTTTGCATTACTTCATCCACTATTCTGTTTCTAGGAAATCTCTTTGGGATTGAAACCGGAAATTTTTCCAGCTAACAGGTTTCGTATTAGATTTTAGGACTTAGGGCTTTTATTGTCGTGAATTATTTACCACACTAATTGCATCGTCAAAACTTTTGTCATAGATGCGTTGATGAATTTTTTTGTTGTTGTTAAGAGCTTAAGGCGCGAAAAACCTATTTGTCTCATGTGAAACAGCAAAGCTGCATTCTTTTTCTACAGTATTCGATGCAAAGTATTGAGTCATAACATACTTCATTAACTCATAAATGCTGTTTTGTCCGGTGTTTAAACTATCCGTATTCGCTGCTCTATGCTGTGCTCTTCTACTATGTCATATCAGCATCACTTGTTCCTACGAATACGAAGACCTAAACCGTACAAAAGAAGCCGATCATTTTTGGCATTATATTACAACAGTTTGATTTAATCAGAACAAAATAGGAAGAGATGATTTAAAATTTGTACTGGTTTGCCATTACATTATTTGGGATAAATATTGAAATGAAATAATTTTGAAATTAAAAGATTTTGGAATTTTGTACGTCGATTTCAAAAAATTATTTGTAGAATAGAATATGTTGGACCGTATATTGAGTACGTGTATGGATGGTCGCACTGTGCGTATCAATGTTATGCAGCCACTGACTGTGAACTTTGTAACTGATGATCATTTATCAGTCGAAGAAAGAAGCAATGCCGTATTAGCAAGATACAAAGAGGTATTGCTTATGTCATTGCATTTTTATACTGTCGAATGAACATGTACCACATTAAGGTCACGTGTTTTCCCATTTTTTACGTGTAAGTTAGATGTAGGAATGAAAATTTCTACTGAAGTACAGCATGTTATTATACGTTTAGTTTACTTCAGCAGGTAGTTGGCGGGAACGTTTTCTTACCGAATGTTAGCTCAGCAACATGAAGCGGAGTCTTTTTATTTGCTTCAAACTTCTGGAATCATATTCCGTTATCCTTATATATGGAAATTCCCGGTCGGATTTTCTTTGCATTAATTTTTCATCCAATTAAGTTCGATATCACTTTAGTTAGATATTAGATTTTCTTTTGAAATTTCGTTTAAAAACCGCAAAGTTATACGCTACGAGTGTTTCAGGGTAGTGGAGTCACTGCAACGTTACCGAAAGTAAATGTTCGCAGACTATCACCTAAGCCACTGTCACCCAAAAATTTCGAAATGCCTAAAGGATATATCAAGTATCGTGTGAGATTGAATGAAGAAATGGACAGTATTTTGGAATATGATGTTGACGAGGAGGTTTCATTTCATATTTCCATTATTTTAATAGTTTAAAATATTATATTAGTATATGATGCTAACTTTAGATCCAAATGCTTATAGATTTTGAATAACTTTAAATGGAGTTCATAAAGCTTTTTTGCAGGATATGGAATGGTTAAGCCTTGTTTCAAAGAAATTAGAGAAAGCTGGTGAAGAACGTCTTGGTGTACATAGCTTTGAGATCGCAATGGATCGCCTAGAAAAAGAAAGTTTTTTCCAAGTAAGATATGTTGTTGGGGGCAATCGAAAAATGCCATTAGTTGTATGTTGACTACAATTTGACGAAGTATATTATAGTTAGGATGCCATGCTTCACTCACATTCCATTACACCGAGCTACAAATCTCAGGTCCAGCTACAGTGATAGGTGGAGTATTATTAGAGTTTCATTAAGAAAAGTGCAACATGTCAGGATGAGTAATACGCCAACACATCACTAATGAATGGATTCCAGGAATTTACGATCCAAGTCGAAATAAAGTTATAAAACATTTGACCTTGTGCTTAATTCTTAATTTGCACTAATATTTTGCGAGACATTTTCTAGAGACTTCTGGAGAAGAGAGTTTTTTGGCAAATATTTGATTTTGCCTTGTTGTGATGTTTGAATCGCCTTATGCAGTCTATCTGTTGTACCTTATGATGCGTTGGCAATAATGTCGAGATTTCGACCTTTTCTGCATCTTTTTTTATTGGACTCGTGAACCTTTATTTTATTAGGGTAAAAAATTATAGTGCTCAAAAGGTGATGGCAATTACAAATGTCTGGTTGATCAAGATGCTGTATGTTGCGTATGTAACGATGGAGAAGGCAGCAATATCAATCAAATTATTTTCTGTGATATGTGCAATATTGCTGTTCACCAGGTACAATATTTTACTTCTCTACTTTGATATAAGCAGTGTTCTTGGCTAATTTTGAGCTGCAATATCTATGAGCTCCATTTCATTTGACATCTGACATCTTTTTCAAACTTTCTCAGTCTAAGTGTTTTTTTTTGTGGTTCTGTTTTCATAATTTTTTTTTTTCTACTTCATAGATATTGGTAATGAGTAATTGTTTTTCATAAAAATCAGGATTGTTACGGTGTACCTTATGTTCCGGAAGGTCAGTGGCTTTGTCGTCGTTGCCAGATGTCACCATCGAAACCAGTATCATGTGTGCTTTGTCCAAGTTCGCATGGTGCCTTCAAGCAAACAGTTGATAGTCGTTGGGCTCATGTTGTTTGTGCATTGTGGCTGAATGAGGTTATTATTACTAGTAATTTGTAATTTGTTCTACATTTAATAGCATTGTAAAAAGTGTGAGTCTGGAGGAAATAGGAATAAAGACAAAGGGTGGGGTTAAGGTGAAAAATGGGTTTAGTTTTATAGATGATTTAGATTGAAAAGTGTCCTTTCACCAACAAACGGAAGTAGATATCGAAATCTACGATGTTACTCCTCTCACGAATTGATGTAAAAATTCAAATTTCATTGAATAAAACTACGATTGAATTGTGATTTCGTTATTGCTTTTTTTTTTTGCATTTTTACTGATTTTAAATTTTCTAGGTTCATTTTGCTAACAGTGTCTTTATGGAACCAATTGATGGAATTGAAAATTCACTGAGACGAAGGCAACGGCTGAGATGTATAGTATGCAAGCAAAAAGTGGGAGCATGTCTGCAGTGTTCTAGGGTATGGTATATAATTTCCTGGTGGCTCAAGTAGTTTACTAGCAATACATGAACCAAAATAAGGGAGATCTTCGGGAACTTTATTAGTTGTATTAGCAAAGCAGGGATAGGTTAAAGAATTTTTAGATGACTTAGATTGAAGGTTATACTTTCGCCGATGTCGTGAAAGCAGGTGTCCTAAATCCACGATGTTATTCCTCTTATGAGCAAATTGATATAGAAATTCAAAATCCACTGAACAAAAAAATAATTGAATTACAAGTCCGTTTACTAAAACAGTATTTAACCTTTAAAGCTAAATAACCACACTGAAATTTTAATTTAAATCTAAGCATACTGATTTAAAACAATAACGACGTACCAGATCAATGAGATAATGTCGAAGTTCTCGTATGAGCTGTTGTATTGATTTCAATCAGTCCTCTTCAAAACTATATATTTTCGTATTTTTTTCTCTCCGAATTAAATCATTCGTTTAGAAGAGTTGTACTCGTTCCTTCCACGTTACATGTGCAAATGCTGCGGGTATGGAGATGCGTGCTGAAATAGTTGATAACCCAAAACGTGATGGTGGCACTGAAATACGGTATACGGCATTCTGCCATTTTCATTCAGCTGATTTTGTAAAGTATGTTTTAATAGATCTTTCGTGTCTTGGCTAAAAAAAAAAGTGCAGTCAAATCATGATTAAATGAATGTGGTGATTGAAATCATCAGTTAAGTGACTTTTGAGAATCTGGAGAGAGCAGAATTGTGCTCATTCTGTGCCTACGCCTGCACCGAAAAATCCTATGAGATTATAGCATACAGTCCTGGTAAAACCACAGTGAATAAAAGAATGAGTCATGTTCAGATTGCTGGTAAGATCATTGTATTTTTACAGAAGTGATGGAAATGATTTCTCTAAGCAAAAGAAGAAAGTGGTATGTTCTTAATGGTTGATCCTTCTTCAATGAAATACTGTTTTGAAGTATCAATTCTGCCAACTTTTTTTAATGATTTTATCCGCTAATCAAGACTTTGTTTAGGATGAAATGATGAAAAAAGCACGCGAAAAATTAGCGGCGAGTCAAGCAGTTATTCCACCAGTTTCTATTCCTACTGTTCCACAAGAAAGGCACATTCTTTACTTAGTCGTTTTGTCATTTTTATATTTTAATTTAGGAAGTATAGTGATTGAAGGCAACAGATTGTAAGCAAAAGTAGGCGCAAAAGCTGATGGGTCACCTTTGCAAAAAGTCCTTCGAGTTTCTATCGCTTTCATGAGAAACAATTTTCCTCTCGAACGTTTATGTTTGAAATATATTTTCCAACTGTTGATGAAAAGTTCACATTGTTGATATCTACATGCTTCCGATTTACAAAATTTTACAGTCTGAAGAGAATATGCGAAAAAGCGAATATCAGTGAGGGTGTGATTCGTTATATCGTTGCCTACTGGTCGTTGAAAAGGAAATCACGATTCGGAGTACCGCTATTACGAAGATTAATCGTGAGTCGCCTTTTGAAACTATAATTTTTCGATAATCTGCGATATTACTAAACAATTTGCCAGTGTGTGTTAGGTAGGTCAACTTCTTTTCGTTTGCGCTACTATCAGTAAGTGAGAAAGTGAACAAGAAATTGTATTCCAAAATCCTCGTATACAACAAGTCATGTATAACTATTAATGAAATTTCTAGAAAATATGGTTTTAAACTTGAGAAATTCAGCTGATTGAATGATAATGGATTTGTTTTTCAGCACAGTAAAACACTTCCCAAATCCGTTGATGCTTCTCCGACATCTGGGCAGGAGACACATACTAGTGAAGCTAAAACATACTTTTTACTACGAACAAACCTTGAACGTGTTCGTTTATTATGCGAACTGGTGAAAAAGCGGGAAAAGATGAAAAAAGAATTTGTAAGTTGTCTTTCACTTATGGTAAGTTGAGCTTTTCAATTGGACGATAAAATAGATTTTGGTGTACATTTTTGCCAATGTTTTATTATCTGATATTAAATGTTTATTTCTACCTAGAGATATATTTTGATATTTTCTGTGAGCTGCAGAAAGATTTCTTTTTCATTATAGTACGAATCAACTGCTTCCTTGCTGAATCGACTGACAAAGCCGTTGAATACAATAATGGGTGAAGTAATTGAGAAGATTGCTAGCAAAGATTACAGTGATGTAAGTCTTGTATATTAGTCCTGTATATATATATATATATATATATTATATGCTGGTAGACTCTTTATTTTAACATGACTTCGACTTACCTTTTCATTTGCAGTTTTTTATTAAGAAAATATGCGTTAAAGGTGTTTGCAAAACCAGTGACAGAAAAGGAGGTACCTGGCTATTCAACCGTTATCAAAAATCCAATGGATTTATCTACCATGCGAAAGTAAGACTATAATTTCCTCTTTTATTTTCTGTAACAAGAGTTACATGGTATATTTTAAAGGAAACTTACAAAAGGTGATTACAAGAATCTCGCACAATTGAAGTCTGATTTTACACTAATGATGAACAATTGTTCGACATTTAATCGGCATAATGAATTCTTCTGGAAATATGGTCATCGATTGCATCGCATTGGTTTGAAATATTTCAGAGCAGCTGAAAAAGACGTTCAGGCTCTCACATTGGTATGAATATTGTTTTTGTTACTAAAACATACCTGAATAGGTTTGCACTGTATAAATTGATTGCCTAATTACTCATCTCAAGCTGTTCAATACAACTTGACAACCTCGTTATCGAGTTGTATTAGAGTCTTTAAATTGTCCCTGTGAAGTCTGTAGATTTTGTAGATTTCACTTTTAATTCTTTTACAGTGTAGAAGAATAAAGGGTTATCTAATGAAATGTAGAATTTTTTGATCAATACTAGAGAAAAATGCAATCACTAGTTATCTCAACAAAAAGATGGAAAAACTTGACTCTATCAGAAGCCGCTTTACATCGATTTTGTTAGAAATTTGTTCTCAGTTTGCTGATATCTTCAATTGCAACTCAGTTAAACATTTAAAGAAGCGGTAAGAAGCTCATAACGATACGAAAACGGAAAATTTTTTACTTTATTTCAAATATTATGCAGGCAAATGGGGTACTGAAAACGATATCAAGCATATCATATACACCTGTCGAAGGTTCACGATTTGACAACGACTTGGAAAACGATGAAGAATTGGATTTTGTGCAGAGAAAAGCGTCAACCTGTCGTAGTTTAAAGGGTGAAAAGACGGTCCCAACTAGGATATCAACTCGGAAACGTACTTTGAGGACTTTTGATGACAGCGTTACACCAAAGCGTCCTAAATATAATCTGGGTAGGTAAGATGAGTAACTGTCAGTTAATACGATCATCGTTCGGTGAGATGACTTCGACTTTATTGAAGAGTAGCTATGGATGTTTCAGATACTTCTTTCTCATTTCCTCATTCGGTTCTCGCCACTTTAATCTGATTATTAGTCCCATCATAAATCCTCCACATTTACTAATTTATATATGGATGTCAATGTATTACTTGTAAATCAGCCATACGGAAAATCAATTAGTTTTGTAGTATTTATAAATAACATTGTTTCCTTTTGTGTGCTACTACTCTCTACCTCTTTTTTTGCTTTCAGCCATAGAGTCGTTTATGACCTACAGAAACAGTCCATTGAAAAGTCCAAAATTCTTGACAACTGATACCTCTACAATGGAAGAATCAAGTTCTGCTGAAGATGAAATGCCTCTTCGACGAGGACGACGAAGGAACACAAGGAAATCTCGAAGGCTAATACCACCACCACCACCAACGGAACGTCCTGTTGGTAATATTTTGATTCGTAACAAGCTAAAAAATCTTAATATGAATTATGTTCTGTTGAACTTTTAGTCATAAGTTGTTTAAAACCAATAATGCGCCGTAGCAAATTTGTTTCGTATACGTGTCGTGCTCTCCATCCTTGTTAAAATCATAAAAGGAAGACTAAATTATTTTCTTAAGTTTCCTTACGAAATTTATCCTCTCTACGCAACAGTTGGAAAGTCCGGATTTAGTTGATCCTTGCTGATCATATATAACATAGCTTTTTTACTGCTTAAAGATTTCGGAACACGGGTTTCACTACACTATGATGCCGCATAATAGTTACTATAAGCATTTCGTGATAAGTATCGTATCCAATTTTGCTTGAAAAATTTTTTGTTGCCCAACAAAAAAAGGTATTGCAGAGACAGTTGAAGTGGCATGTGAATTTCAACATGACGATATTGTTTGGATAACAGAAAATGATGAACGTAAAATTGGCAGGGTCATCGATTTACGAATGAGGGTAGGTTTTTCAAACTTGTAATAATATTAAATTTCTGAGGACTTCTAAACAGTAGTTCTGTTATCAGAAGTTATATGTCTACAATCAAACAAAATAGCTAATCAGACATATATTTTATGGTTGTTTCATTTCGAAGTATTTCGTCGTAGTTTCAGGTTCTGCTGGCTGATTTGCCAATAGACGAAATGTTTAGCGCAAAACCACATGATTACACGCAGTATGTTTTGGTCTTGTATTTTGACGGGCAGAAAAACTGGTGAGAATTTAAATGAAAAAATTTCCAACTTTCTCTTTTTCCAGTCGATAATAGCGAAAATTGGAATAACCGGGAAAAGCTTACTGTTGCAAGCATATGTAGACTTTGAAGATAAGCAACGTTATGATAACCTTGTTAAAGCCATTATTGACGTCTTTTCGCATTCAACTCGAATTTGTATTTTATGCTAGCTCTCTATGGCAGGTCCAAAATTTGGATATTGGATATAGCATTGATTATGTTTGCAGTGAATGGTTAGGGGTGCTTTGTAATCATGATAATGGAGAAATCATAGTCTTCTCATTTAATTCTCTTAATGAAGCTAAAGCTTTCTAAAATATCTCTTGATTCATGATTTTTGCAAAATATTGTAATGAAATATTCATTTTTATAATGAGTTTCATTTGCAGGCGATGGGTTCCGGTTAAATACGTCTCGTATTGTCTTGTGAAATCTATAAAAGCTGAAGACTATCCTCTTGCTGTGCGAGAAGCATTGAGGGAAGCAAAAGCATTCTTGTAGGTATTTTCAATCTTGTTTCATTCCAGTTGATTTCAGGCAGCTATGCGGCATTAAAATTTTGCATGTGACTAAGGGAGTAAATTTTGAAGCAGTAATAGAAATATTTAAACAGAATTGTATAAACTTGGTACGCTGTATTTTTCATGGGCGATAATAATTTTAACTCTTTTTAGAGGTATGTGAAATATTGGAAAATTGTTTACCAGCAAATGAAATGTTGTTCTATCGTGTTCTGGAATGTGTTATGTATCCGGTGTTGCTTGTGCTTGAACTGTAATGCATATTTATCAGAGCAAACGTTAACTGTAAAGTTGAAGGCAGCACAGGATTTCACTTCCTATAACTTGCGTATCAAATCAAACGTTTCATTCATTTCTATAAGAATTATTCCTATGAATTCATTTTCGAGTACAACTGATGTTTTTTAGCACCTCATTTTGTGCATATAAACTTAAAGTTTTGATCAGATTGAAGGAAAAAACGAGTATCATATAGCTGCGAAGATTTTCCCATTAAAATGCTGATAATCCAGAAAAATGTAGGGAGTGTGAGGATATGTTCTTCATCAACCACGCGGAAATAATGGGCTTGCTCTTCAACTTGTCGTAGAACATAGAAGATTTAAACTAACGGATAGATGTGGTAAAAGAATACGTGCCTTTGGTTAAAGCAGACGTTATGATATTCTCTTCCAGTAGAGATTTCTGGTTGTTAGAATTGAGGATATCGAAATTTTCTTTCCATGTTCCTGTTTTCTAAAGCCATAACAATATCGGTTGGTTTTGATTCTGTGTCACAACAGAAGAGGGAGGTTCCTTCCATTAAAATATTACCAATATTATATTGCATTATGTTCACTTGTAAGTCTACTACTTATTATTTTCCTGTTCACTCGGTATCTCCCAACTTGTAGAATATTCTGAAATCGGAAGCATATGTCCTCAGTCGAAGTCAAGAATATGAAGAGGACAAAAGAACAGATAATTGTTCTGGTATTAGACCTAAAGTTTCTAAAGAAATTATGACATTATGGGGTATTCTAGGTCTTCTCGTGTGATCTTATCACAAAATACAAACATATGTCTCTGTTCGTTTACTAATTTATCGATTCATCGATATTTCAGTTATCTCGGATTTCTGTTTCTTTCATATTTGTTAATGCAACTGAAGATTTTCTAAACTTTACACTTTTTTCTTTACCCTTGACAAAATTTAAAAAATTGAAACACATTGAAGCATAGATCATGTTAAAGAAATGTCTGGTTAAATATCATTTGTCATCACATGAAATCTTACGTTTTAATTTTTTTTATTTTTTAGAAATTGAAAGATAGGGTTCCAGATATTTCTTTAAAATGATTCAGCCAATGATTTCATTGGGTGTAGAGTTTTTTGTCTTTCCTTTTTTTGTTTTTTGTTTTTTTTGACATGAAAAGCTGCTATTTTGTCTAACGTTCCTTACTTTTTCTCGCCTTAATTAAATAAAAATCAAGTATAATTAATATTCACAACATTCATATTCAGAAGATTTGATTTTGGGATGAATCATTCATGAATGATACTAACAGATCTTCCAATCCGGCATTCAACATATTATCAATATTCATCAATATATAGAGGTGCCGTGATCGATTATCACTGCAACTCGTTGTAGGGACTGACTAGTCATGATAAATTAATGTGTACTACTTGGCTTCGTTTTGCATTTCAATGTGGTGAATCATAGGTTAATTAATGTGATTAGTGTACAAATTGAAAGGAATTATTTCGTATGAAAAGGTTTGCTTTCAAGTGCGTGATTAGTTACCTTTATTGATTGGTATAGTTAATTAGAAAATTTTTGCAATTGGTAAATTTCGGAAAAAGATTTACATTCAAAGAAAGAATTAGCAGTAGAAATTTGCATAAATTGAAGACATCGATGCTACGCGATTGATATTGTTAGTCTGTTTCAGAAAGAGACGAGGTAATGTTATTTGAAGTGGTTGGATGATTTGGTGGTTAATCTGTGGAGTATAAGAAGAACTTACTCGTGTCACGTAAATCTCATCATCTTGACTTACGGTTAAACGTGGAGTCTGTGGTGCTACGTTTTTTGGTCTTACAGCGATTACTACGCTACTGTATGTTTTAGCAAGTTGTTGCACTTTGCATTTTAAATAGTTGGTTTATTTTGCCCATGGGATGACTTTGGTTGTTTTGGGTGGATTAGGATAGGTGATCACCCGGGCTTGTGCCTGATTGGTTTGCTGATCTGCATCTTACAGGAGGATTAGATTACATGCCATAGCGTGCTATCTGCGGGAGGATAGGTGACATACTACAGCTTGCTCTTGCATCAAGAGCAGGTAGTATGTTACAGCTTTCATCTTATCTGTATACTACAGCCTATATTTTATAAGAAATAACTCACTCTTATCTTGCAACAAGAGTAATTTACATGCTGTGGCTTACATCTTATAAGAGGGATAATTTGCATATTAAACTTTGCACCTTACAACATAAGTTTATTTCTTATTGTAGTCTAAATAGTAAAGAGAAAGAATATGGTATACATAGCTTATGGGAAGATGCAGTTTGCATATTAGTATCTTCGTTTCTTTTATTTTCAATCGTTACATCGTATCATCATACTGTCAACTTTTTAAAAAATTGTTTCATTTTTTTTCATTTAATTTCATCTAGAATTTATTAGAGGAAATGGAAATAGTTTGCATACGAAATGTATTGACAAGAGCGGTCACTTCACGAAATCGTTTTGCACTACTGATGCGGAACACGAGGCCTACCACAGGTTATCTATTTATGCCTGTCTTTAATCTGATGTTTATATTAATTGATTGTAGTTGATTCGATCAGGGCATTAGTCCAATGGAAGAGATTACTGGTTTAAATTTTCATCCATTCTTTCAAATCCATACTCTAGATTTTCAGGAATGAATGAATGGTCAGTGATTTAAACTACTTTACGTTAGGGATAACGCTACCTTCTCGTGGTTTTTCTTAAAAGTTTCCGTTCCGTTGCTGTTCCGACCACTTCCACATTAACGCATGTCGGATTGATAAGATTATTTCGCCAGTAATTATCGTTAATTCCTCACTGTTTTGCGAACAGCAGCTTACCTCAAACTGATTAATTCAAAAAACAATAAGGAACTAAAACAGGACAGATGTCAATCTAGCAGTGGTCTTCTCTTTTGATAAAAATGGATTTCTATTTCAGGAGGTGCAGCACAAGCATCACTTTCATTAGAAAAATCAGCTTCAGAATCTTCAGAAGGCAAAAAAGCAACTGCAGCAACTGCAAAAGCCGAAAAATCTGAGGATGCTGAACGGATGCATACAATCCCAGAAAAGAAGCAAAAGGCAGAAACACAAGCTCCTTCTATGAATAAAGGAATGGAGTTACCTGCCAATTCAACCACTGATCAAAAAGCTGCCCAACTACCGTTGGAACCGGGGAAGGCATCTCCGCTTCCACCTAGTGACGGCGAAAAGGTGGTGTCGGAACGGATCCTTCGGTTGGCAAACGAGATAGTCAGTTTAACGATTTTCGAAGTGGCAGATCTGAATAGCACGTTGAAAAAGAAACTGAACTTGCCAGACACTCCTGTCTTTGCTCAGTCCTTTGCTGTCTCAGGGGCTACCTCTGCTGCAGGTAAGTGTTCCGGTCATGAAGTTTCAAATTTTCAGTGCAGGGGATCACTGTTTTTTGAAAACTTTTTATTCTTCATAAGCAAAACATCTGTTTGCCATGTTCACTCGCATTTTGCACTTTTGTTCTCTTGTATGGTATTAAACTTCTTTTTCAGAAGGAGACGAAGCGAAGTTGGAGAAACCACAAGCATCACAAAAGACATTTTTCTCGGTGAAATTAACGAAAGTGGATGATTCAAAGAAGATTCCATTAATCAAAGAAATCCGCGCAACAGTGGAAGGTTTTAATTTGGTGCAGGCGAAGAAATTTGTGGAAGCGTTACCTGCTACGGTGAAGGAAGATCTGAGTAAAAACGAAGCTGAAGAACTAAAAACAAAACTTGAAAAATTAGGTGCTGTCTGTGAAATTGTCTAAACTTTTCTGTTGCCTTACTTTTGTCGAAGTGCGACACATTAGTATTTAGTGAGGGGAGAATTTTGTGTTGTAGAATTTCCTCAGGCTTTGAATATTTTATTCTCGATGTTTTCATGGTATAATGCCATATTAAAACGTAATCAGTCTCTTTGCTTCAAAGCTACCTGTTTGTAATAGTCATCTTTACTTTGCAGAGAAGTTTGAAAAAAAACATAATCAAAAAATAATTGGATTACTCCGGATACTTAGTGTTCACTTTTCTCTTATTCTTTTTTAGTTTTATAGGCTTGTTATTAATATTTAAAGTTTTGTAACTGTCTGCAAAAAATCTTACGAGGAATAATGAACTGGTGTTTCCCGTAACGAATAATGTTATGACTTGGATAGTTCTAAGTACATTTAATTTTCATTTCTCGTTCATGTTGGTTGCACTACATATTAACTTAATATTTTCATTTCCACGTATCCGTGGGTGGGATGAATGAATGAATCAATGATAATAGTATTATGCACATTTTCCGCAAACGTTTGTTATCTGTTTCTATTGTTTGTCGTTCACGAAATATTTCTATATATTTTTGTAAAATAAATGTTGTCAGCTTTTACACAATTTATTTTTGTTGCTATTATAAGAGCTTACTAGCTTCTTATCATATTTGTATTTATTTTCCATTCATCCGTTAATATTAATATTAATATTATCCCAATCGGTTGTTTTTAATTCAAAATTGTGTTTGATGATATATGCACTTACCAATAGGTGTAGCGTTGTTTTGAATCAATTTTTGTTTATTGTGAGAACGATTAAATTTAAATAATTATGGATATTTTTATTTTCTTTAAATTTTTATGATTTTATTTATTTATTTATTTTTTGATCCGTTCTATCCTGTTGTATCTAAATTTAGGATTGATGAATTTGATGATGATACTGTTGGAATGTATGTTTGTAAAGTTGATGTACAAGGCAAACAAATTGAAGGTTATGTGAAAGCAGAAATATACGGTTAGCATGTTATTAACTTTAGATAAATTAATTCGAAAGTATTTAAAAAATTTGTGCAATTGAAATATGGTT